AAATTCAGTACTTACGAAGGTGGACAACGTATTCGTTGCGTGAGCAAGCAATTCAGGAATTGCAAACTGTTGCAAAAATCGAGTGATTTCTCATCCAAATTCACCGTGAAAAAACTTGCCAGTGTAATCCGTACCAAATATCTTGGCCGAGTTGGCTGAAATTATCATATCCATAAAAAGCATCAAGCTCAAAATACACTCCACACAGCATCCCTCCACACCGATATTTTGGCTTAAGCCTTTAATTCACCGTTTGTTTGTTTCATTAAAAACGAAATTTGATAGGGGACGAAGGAAGGGGGACGGGAATGGAAGGGGCTTCATACATAATGCAATCCACGAAAAAGTTTTTAGTGGTCTTTTCCCTCAATTCTTGAATAAAACTCAAACTCAGTTCACATACCCTGAGCGCAATTTTCTGACTTCCAGCAGAACTTCATACCCCGAAATTCGGCTCCCAGCTTTCCCGACCACCACTAGCTGGCCTCCAAAGATTCCGAAAAGACCTAGAAGTTCGATGGCGCCTTTTTTTTCCTCTTTTAAAAAAAACTATAAATTTTTTTAAAACAAACCGTGAGGCTTTCTCGAGCTTCTGGCCATGGAAACTCCAGAACTGGCTCTTTACTGAGTTTATTTAGCGAGAACAGAATGTGGCGATCGTCATACACCAAGGTGTATCCCGTGCCAAAAACGTGCTCGTTGTTCGTTACCACAGCCCAAAAAACTTCACGACAGACATCCCTGAAAAAAATAATCCAAACTTATTTCCCCAGATAAGGTCGCATTTCTATAAACTATGAAAAAAATTATCATTCAGCGGTTCGATCATCTTTTAGAATGTTTCGTTATTAAAAGTATTTTTTAGATGATTTTTGAACTTCTTTTTTGATTTTTTGTGAAATTTTAAGTTCCCGAAATAGAGATGATGGTTTTTGAAATTTTCAATTCTCAGTGCATGCAGATCCCGGAGCAGCTTTATCCACCAACATGGTTACTGCTGGCAAGAGGTCGCGACTTATGGACTTACAGCAATACGAAATCCAACATGTCTTGATGTTCAAAATCCCTTCAGAAGGGCGATGTTACTAGGATGCTCTCAAATGTCTGAGCGGAGGAGGAGGAGGAAGGGAAGGGAGAAGGGGCAGCTACAAACATCAGCCTTCAGCTACATACCATCAGTTAGTGCCCCCCGGTGTTCAGTTGGAATGTCACGGAAAAACCTCGATAACAGATTGTGCTCCTTGTAGCAAGACGTCAACAGATGCAATAGCTGAAATTTTATGTTTCGCTCCAAAACCGTAAATTTTACCTAAAATTGACCTTACCGCTACCTTATGCAGCAACAGTCGGGCAGGTGTTGACTCAGCCTTGTAAAGTTCAGTTGGCTACACATCCTACCAGCTTCCTCCGGTTAGGTGATTCTGCCATTTGTGTTTACAGCTCAGGGATGAAACACAGACAGACTAGCAAGTCACTGCGCACACATACAGGTTTGCTTATCTGAGAGATCTAAATGGCACACTTCCAGTGCTTTCATTCATTGTCAAAATTCGATTGTGTTCCTCCTCCTTGCCAAGAATATTCACTGTTTGAATCTAATACTTAGGTGAAAAAGGTAGAGAAGAGGATGTTTAGTGCCTTTCTCTACCCCCTCTAGGGACGTGACGCGATCTGACGTGAAATATCATGAATTTAGCGCGGCATGTGATTGAATGGATCCAAAAATCCCGAAAAAAACGACCTCAGCGCATTAAAAAGAAAAATACCTGTTTTCGACGACATTCCCAGTAGGCCGGGTAATTTTTACATCATAGAGGTAGAGTGGAAGGCGCTGCGTATTCATTTTCAGCAATTTGAAATTCGCCTTCAATTCGATCGCCCTACCAACCGTGCCATAATTTGGCCGCCGCATAATTTCCATCATCTTTTCGTGCTAAAAATATGCGTAACAGTCCCCCACAATCGAAAATCTCAAACTTCCAATTTTTGAAAAAAATTGAATTTTTTGGCCTTCTGAAGCTTTCTGACTTGAATTTCTAGCTAAATTCTCCTCCATCTGCAAAATTCTTCGATCCAAAGACAGTTCACTGCGATACGAGAAGCGACCAGTAGACAGTAATATTGAGATGAGGCGAAATATGTCCTCCCTATTCATGTTTTCAAATTCAGCTTTCATGTACCGACGCGTGAAATTTTCAGTAAATCTAGCATTTTTCAATATACCAAAGTCTAAAACAATTATATTCGCTGGACGGAACTGCGCAAAATGCATGATCGCATCACCGGCTACCTTGGTGCGTGCCGCTATTTATTTTTTAGCCGAAAAGCTTGTTTTCCTGTTCCGAGAAACAAAGCAGTGCCCCTACCCTTCAGAACAAAAATTTGTCAATTCCAAAGTTTTCAGTGGTCGCTTCCCTGATCTTCTTTGAGAATAGTTCAGGTCTACTCGAATCTCCTGACCCTTTAGAGTCACTTTTTTAAGGTGATATAGTAGAATTCTGAAGCGTGCAAATTAAATTACCCGTGCTGCGGAGGTCTGTGCAGCCTCGGCTACCCGTCTACTACTAGCCATTCCACTGCTCTGTCCAATTTCACTTTGTTCAGCCGTTGAAGCACCTCCAATATGTTGTCTTCCTCGGCCACGTCCTCTTCCCACTACTAAAAACAGCAAAAATCTGCATACTTTTCAAACAAAACAATGCTAATCTCACACATTAGCCTATCCTGAACTTACCCCGAAATGTGTTCACTGCGAAGATGTACCCGCTGAGAAAACCAGGCAGAAATGCAGCGTACAAAAGAGGGAAGGAAATGAGAAGGGAGGAAAACTCGGCTCAAAAGTAGCTGCGAAATTTAACCCATATTTCAAGAATAGTATTCTGATCGAGTGTGTCATCCTCCCGTTTTGAAATCTTCGCTCATACGCGCCTAGATCTCGCTTACGGACCACCGTCGAAGAAGCCCAGAAAAAAAAAAGAGGAAAGGAAGTTCAGAAAAGACTCAACTACAACCTTGGGCGATACGGCTCGTCGGATGCCGTTACTGTATAGGTGGTTGCTGACGGCCTGGGCGAGGCAGCGATGAGAGCACTGGCTCTGCGGTGAGAGTTGAGGGCCGGGATGACTGGGGAAAAAGAGGCAATAAGAAGGAGGGACATTTTTATCATCAGAAATGGGGTCCCAATAGATAGGAGGACCACATGTCAAGGATTTTGAGCAATATGGCCACGATTCAGCGGTATTGAAAAGTGTGCCCACAGGAGAGGCAGAGCTAGAAGATGAAGCAGCAAGGCGAGTGGTGCCAAGCGATGAAGCTGAGAAATTCGGAGAGATATGGTCCATCGGCCATGTGGAACTGCCAAAGCAATTTGCTTTTCTTTGTGTTGCGTTTTTTTTTTTAAAAAAATTTTGTAAATACTTTTCATTTTTTCGTAAGTTTTCGTATTTTTTTTTAAGTGTAAATTAAATCGTAAAAAAATCTTTTTTTTCGTAAATTTTCGTAGAAAAAAGCTCCTAAATCCCTAAAGTTACGTAGAAAAAAGTGAGAAACAAACCTGAAGGAGGAGGGCCAGTGCTAGATTCACTTGATGAACTCTCCAAAGCTCTTCCTCGTCTTTTCATTTTTTCTCGGCTCTGAAACGAAACTGTCAAGACGCAATCCGGCTGCTACGCAGGGCGCTTCCGGAAAGACGAAGAAACGAGCGAGGTCTGTGGTGGGGAAGAAACATGAAAGAAGTGAACGGAGAAAAGACCAAAGCAGAAAAACTTCGAAATAGCCCCGATGGTGGCAAGTACTAAAAGCAATCAGATGATAGCAAGTTGCAGATTTTCTTTTTTCCCCTTTTTTCACATGTAGATGTCCTTTTTTGAGGTTTTCCCAAAGTGAACTGATGGCATAAGAAAAGCAAAAAGTTCGCAGCGGACGGAAAAGTTGCCGGGCTGCAGAGATGTAGATCCAAACACTATAAATTAGCGCGATCTATTTTCAGTTAGTGAGACGGTTTTGACTCTTTGGCATGCGCCAGTACCAATTTACCATCGAAACGAATTTGAACAGGGATTGCTTGGCCCAACTGGGGAGCCCCGAATCCCCGTCTTTCTGCCACGTACCAATATTACTGTGCAAAAGCAAATCAGGGGGCCAGGCCAGTGACATTATCCACCGCCAGCAATTTCTGGTATGCGCCAGTACCAATTCACCACCGAAACGCACGAACGAATCGTTCAGTTAAAATGATAGCTTATTAGCCTTTACAGAAAGCACGAATATTTCAGGATCAGTGGTTCATCGCATCCGGACAGTTGCACCAGTCCAATCTAATTTTCGACCTCCACTATAAATATGCCCGTGGAAATTGCACTGCGCCAGTAACGAATTATTACTGCCGGAGGCATATTCCAGTACCAATTTACCATCGAAACGAATGAACGAATCGTAGAGTGACTGGTTCTCCTATTGGAAGCACCAAACCCCCCAACTCCCGGCACGAAACTCCCCCTCTGCCTCCCCAACGACCACAGCAACATACGAGCACACCAGTAGAACATATCTCTTCCCTTCGTAGCCACGAGCTACACATCCACTGTATAAAAAACCGAGGTTTTGGGCAAAAAAAAAAAAATCCACTCGCGCCGCCTGACGAGGGGAACGGTAAATCAACCACTGGCCGCTCCAGGCCGGGGGAAGGGGCCAGATGTCATTCGGACTGGTAAGGTGAAGCGCAAGCAGCGTGGCTTCCAGCCAGCGGGTCGCTCGCTGTGCGTTGTGAAAACGTTTTTTCCAACCAGCTTCTTCCTCGCTGAGACCTGGCAAGGACATAAGCGAGGGAAGGACGGGTATAAAAGGAGAGGGGAGGGGAGGCTAGGGGGGCAGAGGGGAAGGGATAAGGAAACGGGAAGGGAGCCTTTACATTTGCCTAGTGCGCTCACTAGCGTAAATCATCACAAATTCTACAACAAAGGGAAATGAACCATTTTCGTTGAACGGTCGTTCTTTGACAGTGGACACCCAGCGCTGTCCAGTAAGCAGTTTTCCCGCCAAAACTTTAAGCGACCGCAGGCTCCCTAGCGCCTCCGGTCCACTCTTCCCTCCTTTTCGCGTCTCCTTTTTGGTGCTTTAGTCCCAAGTCTGCGCGAGACAGTTTGCCGCACAACGGTCACCGTGCTTGCTCGACCGGCGACGTGTGCACGAAACAATCGACTCTCGTACGTGGCCTGACACGTAACAGACACGTAAGGCCCATCTACCTCTACAATTCGCCATAAGAACTTACGCTAAAATAAATTGCGCACTGCAATTCCCGAGGGATTTTGAGGCAGGTTTTGAGTTTAAAGAGATATTTTAGCAAACCGTGTTCCC